ACACACACAGCTGCCATTGCCAGAATTTCATCAACTCACTTCAAACGGGTTGTAGTCCATGGGCAGCTTCTCCAGCATATCCTCAGCTAGCCGGGCCACCACAGCCTCTCGGGTCTCATCTCCTCCACTAGAACTGTCTTTGGGTTGGATGCCAAGAATGGTGTCCAGCACATCCTTGGCCAGCTTGCTCTGGTAGGTGATGTCAGCATTGGGGTGCAGCCCGAACACCTCGGGGCTGTCATAGGCCGGTAAACTCTGTCAACAGATAAGCATAGATAGCTGATGTAAGCACCAGTTAAATTATACTGTTTTAAGCTCAAAACCAAATACACTGCCATTGAATTGATTCCGACCAATATCGACCCTATAGGAGAGAGTAGAACTGCCCCATAGGGTTTCCAAGGCAGTAATCCTTAAGGAAGCAGACTGCCACATCTTTATCCTGCAGAGTGGCCAGTGGGTTTGAACCACCAATCTTTTGGTTAGCAGCCAAGTGCTTTAACCATTGCACCATTAGGGTCTGCTTATACCACCTTAGAAAATAAAAAACCTGTTAATAAGATAAGTATTTACGTGAAATGCCTTCATTGTGTCAGACCGTAAAACTAAATAATTTTACTGGAAAAGACTCAGAAGTTGCCTTACAAAAAACAATGAACATTGAAAAATATAATATAGACTCATGGATCTCTAACAGCTGTGCCTCAAGTAAAACTCGATCCAAGAGGTCCTCTCTGGTGGTTTAAGACATGAGACTGGAAGGACATTGTGGCTTGCTATCTTGTTTCTTGATGGTGTTTTCTAATTTCAAGCACTTGTGTAAATAAATGTAAATGGCAGTCCTAAGAATTATATCCCAAATAAGATGGTATGTGGGAGTTGTATTCTCCAAGGGAGAAAAATGAAGATTAGGTAAAAAGGGCCATATTGAGAGAGAAATAGAGTCACAGAAAAAGAGAGACAATAAAAGGTGAAAAGTGAGTCAGGACAGAACCAGCAGCCAAAAATATCCTCAGCCATTTACAGAAAATAAAATTATTCACAATTTGACATGTATTTATATGTGTTCATCTTGTTCTTAATTTTACTATTGCTTTACTTGTATTTTTCACTCTCTTGTTTTACCCTTTTTTGTATAACATCTTGTAAGCGATCTCAAATTCATTCTGTGTATATAAATACACAGATGTACAGGCAAACCTAGATTTATAACTTCGGAGAGCACTTCTCCTATTCAGTGCTAATGATTAAAACCCACGTGTATTACAATGAGGACAAATAAATTTGTTGATTTGAATTAATAAAAGTGTTTAGGTGGTAATATATGTAAACCCATTACATTACTATATCAAAAAACCCCTCTAAACACACTGATAAATTTAGCCCTTTGAGGCTGAGATCTAGTTCGTTAACACTGAGATAAATAGCTAAGGCAAAAGAGAACACTAAATAATGATCTAATGAATTCAAGGTAGAGAGACAGAAATTTACCTAGCTGGAGACACAAATCAGATTTCTCTCCCCTGCACATTCCCAAATTTCCTGTTAGCATCTATGTTATTCTTTCTTTAAGCAGTACTTCTCAAATGAGAACGACTTTGCCTCCCAGGGGGCATTTGACAGTGTCTGGAGATAGTGTTGGTTGTCACAACTTGGGGGGCAAGGAGAGGGATGGTACTGGCCTCTCGTAGGTTAATTTACTAACCCAAGTTATGCTACTCAAGTTCCCACCATGCACAGGACAGTCCTCCACACTCGAAACCATCCAGTGCTGAACATCACTTGAGCTCAGGTTGAGGAACCGGTCTCAGAGGAAGTGCTTATTCAGAGCGGGTTCCTGGCCATCCTCGTAGGCTGTCTGCAGGGCCAGAAGTAAGTAACATGGCACAGGAAGAGGCAACAGGACTGAAAAGCTGAGCAAAGTCTAGTGGCTGCCTTTGCCCTACTGATGTGGTAGAGAGCATCACACCAGAGGGTGCCAGGGGACTTGTGTAGGTCCCCTAAGTTCTAAATCTGACCATCCAACATCTCCCCAAAGTCTATTCCTTGCTGGAGCCTTCAAAGAAAAGAGTAGGAGAGACTCACACAAAACACACTCAAAACTAACGTAAATATTTAAATCATAAGGTGAATATAAAATTACAAAGAAAGCATCAATGGTGGAAGCTTTAGTATATAACTCCATTACAATTTATTTTCAAAGAAGTATATGCAATTAACATCAAAAGCTAATATGGTTGTGGTTGCTTGATCTAGGCATAAAATTCCTGCATTGACAAACCTGGATATACTGAAGATAGTTCTCCACGGTGCTGCATTTTGGAATATTGTATCCTTCATAAAAGCTGAAATCAGGTCCAAACATACTTTCACTGAACCAAACCTTAGCAAAGGTGTTCAACAATCTCTTATCATAGTCATCAGTGACTCGTCCTCCATACTGAATCTCTCCTATCACGTAGCGGACGGTGATCCAGGAGACTCCCTGGGAAAATTGATAGAAAAGCGGGTGTAGAAACTATTACTGTCTCATCATTATGTCCCCCACCAAGTAACAACCAGACTCATTTTTCTTGGATCCACAATCAACTCTCATGGAAGCAGCAGTCAAGCCATGAGATGTCATATTGCACTGGGCAAATCTGCTGCAAGGGACCTCCTTAAAGGGTTAAGGAGCAAAGATGTTACTTGGAAGACTGAGCTGCACCTGACCCAAACCATGGTATTTTCTATCACCTCATATGCATGTGAAAGCTGGACAATGAATATGGAAGGCCACAGAAGAAATGATGCCTCTGAATTATGGTGTTGGTGAAAAATATTGAATATACCGTGGGCTGCCAGAAGAACGAACAAATCTGTCTTAGAATAAGTACAACCAGAGTACCCCTTAGAAGCAAGGATGGTGAGAATTCGTCTCCCATACTTTGGACATGTTAACAAGAGATCAGTGCCTAGAGAAGGACATCATGGATGGGTTGACACAGTGGCTGCATTGATGGGCTCAAGCACAGCAATGACTGTGAGGATGGGGCAGGACCGGGCAGCATTTTGTTCTGTGTACACAGGGTCTCTATGAGTCGAAACCAACTCGAGGGCACTGAACAATAACAAGAAATACGATTCACTCATTCACTATCAATGTGGAAAGTGCAGAATGAAATTTAAGTAGGCGAGGGAGAAAACGTAGAAAAGAATTTCAAATTCTGATGGGGTCCAGACTTTCTGGAGCTATGGAAGCTGGATGAACCCTTGAAACTACTGCCCTAGAGATTCTTTAAACCTTAAGCCAAAAGTATCCCCTGAAATCTTCTTATAACCCAACAGTAGTTGAGCTTACCTAGTAAACAAGGTTGGCCTTGAACACTGTGGTCTTTTAAGAACTATCTGTATGGGATCTAACTGACAATAGCAACTCAAAAGATGCGACAGAAAACGCAGGGGCAGTGAGTTTATGTTCTTGGGGGAGGAGCAATGCAGAAAAGGAGGGGGAGGGAGAGCGGTAGCACAACTCAAAGAACGTCCTCTATGTCACTGGCTGAGACATGTAGGTCTTGCTGAGTGACTGTTACATTCCGCTGTGTATGTTCTCAACAACAACAAGAAAAAATTAAACTAATTATAAAAAAGAAAAGAACTAAGTAGGCAAACATGAGGAGTTACTTAAAGCTAATATTTCTGATTTGAAATGAATTGTTTCCTGATGCATTCACTTCAAGAGAAAAAAAATTACATTCTGAGAAAACTAAGCATTCTCTAGAAAGCACACTTGAAAGGTAATCTAGACTCTCAGTTTTAAAGGATTTTTAATGAAATTTTCCATCCATCATCCCCACCAGACCTTTTCAGACTGCTTTACCTGTAACATCAACATGACTTTAAAAAACCAAAAGAGAATCAAACTCTGTCCATTTGTGACCCTAAATCAAGCATCAAGTGTGATCTAACACTTTAAGTCAGTTGCTATGACTTGAAATAATTACTTTGCTAGCACAGAAAATCATCACTCTCAGATAACTGACTCAAAAGCAAGGTGGTCACATCAGCTTAGGCCCCAGGCCCACCATCATCAGTGGTGAGAGGCACAAGCCTGGCAATACCTTTTTGATGTCCATGTCATCCAAGTGGTTTTGAATGAACTGCACTGTAGCATTGAAGTCTGCTTGATTGAACTCGTAGGGTATATTCCAGCCAAGTGGACCAAACTTCCGCCTCTCCTGGACTGTGGAGTGCAGGAAAGCCACCGCGTACAGCATGGGCTTCCACTGGACCATGGTGCTCACGTCGAGCAGGTCTTGGCTCACGCCTATTGCAATCAATATTGGGAGAAGATGTACCACTTTTGTCAAACATTTTTTTTCTATTATTTTAACAACTTAATTTTTTGTAATTTCCTGATATTAAATTTCACTTCTTTTGAAGTTTTTATCACATTTGAATGACAATTATAACCTGACTTTTGATGTCTAGAGAACACCTCTCTCCGAAAAATGTGCAGAGATTTCAGAGAAGGTGGGGTTTGCTAATAAGATGCCAGTTCCTGCCCATCTAACAAGGTAATGTAAGGATAAAAGAGGTAGAAGAATGGTGGTAATAAAATAATAATAATTAGGACATTGTGGTGTAGTAAATTACTTAGTGTGGCTTTTCTAGCCATAAGTCTTTGTAAACTCCCTGGTGGAATTTGCTGTGAGCAACTGAGGAGCTCCTGATTGTAAAGGTTATCCACCTGGAGTATTTCTGTTGGGTGGCACAAAGCCATGTTCTGGGAGGTTCCCACTCTCTCTCAGGTGCTTAGAATTCTGATGTTATGATTGGTTAGTTGGGCCACTCTGCCAGGCTCAAAAGGAGGCCTCCTAGAGGCAGAAGAAGTTTCTCTCCGACTGCTGGTTGAGGAAGATGTGCTGCTGAAAGAGACACACGCTCCTGGGAAAGAGACGCAAGAGACACGCATTGCTGAGTGAGACACCGAGGGACACTCATTGCTGGGAGAGAGACTGTGAGAGACTGTTAGGAGAGAGTCTGGGCTGGGGGAGAGACTGAGCATTTTTCCTGAACTTGAATTGTAGCCTGGTGCTTCCCTAATAAACCCCGTAATCTGTGAGTTCTGTGTGGCCACTGCAGTGAATTATCAAACCCAGCAGAGATGTGGTGGGTGCGTTGGGAGGAACGGTTGGAGAAAGGACTGGAGGGAGGTAGCATGTCTGGCCTTGCAGTAATAGGCCTTGGGTTACTGATAGTGATTCTGTCTTCCTCTTGTGGGATTAGAGGAGGTCAGGAGATGTGGCCCTCTTGCCCTTTTTGCAGGCATGTACTTAGGTTGCAATGGGCTCCTGTATATACTATTTTTATTAAAATTAAATTATTGTAGTTATTATTTGATTTCACTGTTCTGCCTGAATTCCTCTACCTCTATTTCATTCCTGCATTCCCTGTGGATTGACAGGAAGTTGAGTTTGTTAGCAACCCTCAAAAAAATCTCTTGGCAAATTTTTCAGACAAAAATTTTTCAGAGAAAAATACAATAATTATCATCATCATTATTACTATCATTAAAGCCACTACTTAATTAAAATGTATTTCAACACTCCTAGATTTATTATCTCTATTTTACAAGTGAGGGATTGAATCTCAAGTTGTTTTAGCGACTAGCACCCAAGACAGCAAAGCATTAGTCAAACAGGAATGACCAGAATCAGGTATCGGGATTCAAAATCCATGCTCTTCCTGTGACCATCAGTCCCAGACCTAAAGCTATGAGGAATCAGTGAGATCCTACAATATTTGTTTCTTTGTGATTGACCTATTTCATGCAGCATAAAGGTTCATCCATGCTGTGGCATGTATCAGGACTTCCACTATGCATATATACCACATGTTGCTGATCCATTCATCTACTGATGGGCATTTGGCTTGTTTCCACCTTTCGCCGATTGTAAATTGTGCCACAATGAACACTGGCATATATGTGTCCATTAACATTGCTACTTTCAGGTCTCTTGGATGTATACGTAAGAGTAGGACTGATCTGAAATACTTTAAATAGGAGAATGAGAACAGAATAGACATCCAAGTTGAACAGTGGTTACCAGAGGCAGGAGGGAAGGGAATCTGTTTACCTTACACTGAGTTCTTGTTTCTGGGGATGGAAATACTGTCAGTGGATATTGGGGATGGTTGCACAACATAATTGATGTAATTGGTTTCATGGAATTGTACAAATGAAAAATGTTGAATTAGCAAATGTTATGTTACCTAGATTTTTACAACAATTAAAAACAAAAGCTATGAAGCAAAAGAAACGTTGGCAAAGAGGACAATCTCTGTTATAGCAGCGATTGGAGGGCATTTGGATTGCTTTTTTTGACATTATTCATTTATTTTTCATTAAAAAAATCTGTGGTAAACTACATGTAACATAAATTTTGCCATTTTAACCATTTTTAAGTGTACAATCCAGGGACATGGATTACAGTCACCATGGTGCGCAACCATCACCACTGTTTCCAAAAGTTTTTATTCACCCCAAAGAGAAACCCAGTGCCCTGTCAGCTGTAACTTCCATTCCCCAGCCCCTGGGAACCACCAATAAAGTGTTGTATCTGCATTTGCCAATCCTAGATATTTCATATACATGAAATTAGCTGGCATTCTGACATATGGGCCCCAATTAAATGGAGACCGTATTAATTTATTCAGTCTCTTCTCTTGGAAGGGGCTATTGTCTTCCTTCAGACATGGAACATAAAGACAACAAAAGACAAAGTTATCATTTTTGATGTTAACATACAAAGGCAGAGTGTCTAGCTGGAGAACCCAACTAGAGGAATTTTGGAGGACTCGAAATTCTGAGCTAGGAATCATGAGTTCGGACTCCGTGGCACTGCTTGAGCACATTCTACACACAGTATGACTAAAGGGAGGGCCACCTTCTCATCACGCTTAATAACAGCACCACTTGCTATAACTACAGCCTCACTAATTCTGTTTTTACAATTTCCTTGAAAAAACAACGTAAGTACAAAACGCTCCTGTAGACTCACAAGCCAGCTTCAACTCACCGCCATATGTTCTTTTCAGTCCTGCCCGCAGCCCCTGTGGGGGCTCATTGGCAAATTTAATGGCCATCTGAAGGAGTGTAATGGGGAACTGCTTATGAACCTCGGTGGTCATCCATAGGCGGAAAGCGTCATGTATGATTTCCATCTCTGTGATTACGTCCATGAGCTCATCCATGAAGTCAAGTCCCAGGTGGCAGTTCTGCAAAAGTGCCCATCCTCCCTAAGCCAACAACAGCAAGTGCAAATGGGATTAGGTCATGTTTCACCCAGAGACTTGAATTAATAAGTTCTATAGAAATTAAATCATTAAAATTTAATAAAGAAGCACACTAGCCACTTTAAATTAATCTAGGTCAAACCTAAGGCTACAATGGCTTAATTGAGAGAAGCTATGTTTCTTTCTTGTTCCATTTATTTGTCTCACAGTATAATAGCATGCCGACTGAGGAATTACGTTGGGGCAGCAGACATGAAAACAACCAAAGTGAAATATAAGAAGAGATAATAGTGCTTCCAAGGAAAGATGGTTGATGGAAAACATTCACTTAGCACTGCTCCCTCCCCAAATCCCATGACAACTACCAAACCAAATCAAACTCACTGCCATCGCGTTGATTACAACTCATAGTGACCCCCATTGGGTTTCAAGGCTGTAAATCTTTAGGGAAGCAAACTGCCTCATCTTTCTTCTGTGGAGCAGATGGTGAGTTCGAACCACCGACCTTTAGGTTAGGAGCCAAATGCCTTAACCACTACACTACCAGAGCTCCTTGTTACAACCACAGTGAAGATACATATGTACTTGTTTTTAAGGCATGAACTCTTAAGGATAAAGACATTGAGAGTGAAGACATTATCAGTAATATTTCAAACAAGACTTAAGATTCTCTGATTGGCTTTCACTCTTTCCAAAAACAAACCAAGCACTGGATCTGAAATCTTAGCAGAGCTACATATAAAACCAGTAATTTAGGGAAGTCATAGAATCCCTTATATTTCACTGCCTCACAGACTATCTAGTCTGTGGCCTTTTTAAACTCCAGTTGACACTATTCACAATTCAAAGTATAAAGCACTCAAATACCAAGCTTTTAAGACAGTAACATCTCTAACAAGTTATAAGCATGCTAATAATAAAGATTTATTATTATTATTATTTTACTTGAAACCAAAAACAGGTATAAACTGAAGGTTAAAAATGCTCCATTTAAGTTCTACTTTAGCTACCTGAACCTGTAATTATTTACCTTAAATTGAAATTAAACAAGCATCCCATAATGTTAGTGCTTCTTATTCTAATGTTATATCTTTGCAGGGAAACTGGATGGAAAATCTGATGTTCTGGTTGAGTAAGCTTTTCACGTAAGTCAAAGCTCAGCCCCGAAAGCTTTAAGTTGTATCTGTTTTTCTGTGAAAACAGTATTTTTCACTGCTAAGCAGTGTTTTCTGAGAAACAAAATTAATGTCTGATAGACATTACACTTTTCCCTGCTTCGTAAACAGCATGCATCATGTATGTCCAAACTGTTCTCAATGATTCATAAGCTCTTTTCTGGATTCCTATCTGATAATCATCATAACAACAGGTTAAAACACAATTAGACATTTGGCCTTACATTGGCCATGGTCTGCTGCAAGAGCTTGCGAGCATGGACCTCCTGGCCCTGGCCCATGGACACATAGCGGGTTTCTATTTTCAGTCTCTTCCCCAAGGCGATGATGGAATCCGTGGGGTCTGAGCCCATAGACAAGAGACAGATGAGTGGTGTTCGAGGATCAGATTCCTCCCACATCTTTTCCAAGTCCAGGATAACACCTTCAGCATACTTTTCGCCCATGGAGTCCATGATGTATTTGCGGGCCTACCAAAAAACAGTACATGAGTCACTGGAGTCTGACTGCCCCATATATATAAAGCAGTGTGGTTTTCCCAAATTCATCTTTGTAGATTATGTCAATGATGCCCACAGTCATCCTGCCTGAGCATTTGTTTTTGTTTTTGTTTTAATCCTCATTCTATAGGCAAGGATACTGTGTTACTCTGTGCACCAAAGTCATACAGTTAAAAGACCACAACTTAACTTTGTGGACCTCTTTTGTGGACTCTCTTTGAATACATTTGCTGCTTCTTCCTATAAATACAGAATGAAAATGCTAGGAAATTCTATTATTTAGGATGCTTTAAGGGAACTAGATATGGATTTAAAGAATCAAGCAGGCAGAAGAGCTCTTGGAATTTAATGGATACTGAACTAGATAATTATTGAATGACTATTTATTGAATGAACTGTATTAAGTATTTATTGAATAAATTAATTTTTAAAGACTTAGCTCATAAATATTCTATGTATGCAACAAAATTTACACTTTATGACATTTACCAAGAGCACCTTTTTCTTTAAATTATCAATACTACCTTCTACTACTACACATTTCTTACCATTCAGAAGACAATGCCATCCCTACCTAATAGGCCCAGCTGCCACTATCCACAGAGACAATATTCAGTCAAATCAAAAGCCTCCATCAAGAAAGGCTGGGCCTAGAGATGGTCGGAAGTGTGCCATGGCAAGCTTTCATGTCAGAGTCTTGGATCTCCCATTTAGGAAGCAAGTATGTTTCACTTGGGAATTACAGTAAGTTCGGTTTTGCTTTTTCTCTTAATGGCTTGGTTCATTACACACTCTCTCTTAATTTTCTTTCACTTTCCTTCTATCATTCATTCATTCATACACCTCATTTTCATCCTAACTCCTTTCTTTCTCCTTATGATTGTCACCATCTCTTTCCATTTTTGACTCATCCCTGTTACTGTTATTTTTTTTTAACATTTTATTGTGATTCGGGTGCAATTTACAAAGCAGATTTGTTTTACATTGAACAGTTCATATACATTTTGTTTCACCACACAATTACAATGATTACAATCCTCACACAGTGCAACATCTCTTCTTTGACGTCCTCCCTGTGCTTGACCCTTCCCTGTGCCCTTGTTACCTATGTGTTTCCACTTGCCTAGCTTCCTCCTTGTCTAAATGCTGCCCTTCTGATTTTCCATGGCTGATTTCCTAAGGAACGCATCTACCTGGTGGAGCTGTTCAGCTTATAGACCTGTCTATTAGTTTATCTGAGGGTTAAGCCATGGGAGTGAGTCCAATCACAGTTCACCATATCACAAATTTTGTCAACTATATTTCCACCCATATTCTAGAAATAACATAATCCTTTCTCAGACAAAGTAAAACAATGATCATTTATTTTTTAACAAATACTGCTATTAATGATGAGTATCAATTTTAGCCTCTTTTCTTCCACTTATAAATGGTTGCATTCCCTCCAAGAAAATCTGCATCCTATTCTGATGTTTCCCTCCACCCCCAGTTTCTCACTCCAGTGAAGCTCCCCAGAATAATTATCCTTACATAACAAGTAGCCCAACAGTGGGTGCAACATGACTTGTAAACCTTTCCAGAACTGAATGGATGATAAGCCTTGGTGGGGTGAGCCTTGGTGGACCCTACAGCTGAGCCTTGAAACACTCAGCCATAGAGAAACACAAAATAGCTTCTGATGGAATTTCCCTTGAATCAGAGAACATTCAGATTGACCTGGACCAAAGAGGAGATGGTCTCTGGTTAAATAACTGTCTTTGGCTTTAAAGCATCCAGAGTTTGGTTCCAGCCAGTAATACAGGCTCTTCCTCCACCTTTAATCTTTAGCTGTGTTTTGTTTATGCTCAGTCATTGCCCGACCTCAAGTTTCTGAGCTCACACATTGAAATGTGGTTCCCCACTCAAGTTTGCTCTCTTTGCAGGTGAGAGCAAAAGGGTGTGGCACGATTAGAAAATCTCCCAGCTTACCGGTCTACCTTCTTCTGCATCCTGGTAAGAGAGGGGAAATGGGTACCATTATGCATTGGATTGTGTGCCCCAAAAAATATGTATTGTAAATCCTAACCTTTAGATCTGTAGTTATAATCCCACCTGAGAATGGTATTTTCTTTATGTTAATGATAGTATTGTTGTTGTTGTTGTTAGGTGCTGTCGAGTAGGCTCTCAATCACAGCGACCCTGTGCACAACAGAACAAAACACTGCCCAGTCCTGTGCCAGCCTCACAATCCCTGCTATACCTGAGCCCATCGTTGCAGCCACTGTGTCAATGAGATAGTATTAGTGAGACCATTCTGGTCATTCAAGACTCTAGACTGAATTGGCACCCGTCATAGTTCTCTAGTGTGGCTATAGCAGAAACAGCACAAGTGGGTGGCTTCAACAAACAGAAATTTATTTTCTCACAGTTATCAGGGTGCCAACTCTAAGGGATGGCTTCTCTGTTGGCTCTGGGAGAAGTCCTTGTCTCTTCAGCTTCTATTCCTAGGCTCCTTGGTGACCTTCATGTGACATGGGATTTATCTTCCCCAATCTCTACTTGCTCACTTGCTTGTTTAATCTCTTATAATTAATCTCTTGATTTCTTCCAGCTACTTTAAAATATACAGACCATTCTTTGCTCATAGACTTTTTACAAAAACTTGCAGTAGCCCAAATTTGGCTCACAGGCCACTGTTTACCCACCCATGGAAGAGACTACAAGGAAGCCTATTTTGATTCAAATAGCAATAATGTCTGACTATTCTTTCTGGTGTGAAAGTCTTATGCCTAGAAAAAAGATATTCTCAAATGGACCCAGAGTTACTGGTTCAAATTGGCTCCAAGGGTTGCAACGAGTCTATGGTACAAGTATGCACACTTAAGGATATGTGGAAATTCCAAATAAAACCATAATGTCCTACACATGGATTTGAAACCACAAGTAAGTGCTAGAAAGAGTGCACTTTTTCATTTTCTTTAATTCGGCTTCAATTCTACAAACTGTACTCTCCCACTGAGCAAGTAGTACAATGATCCTCAAGCATTACTGGGTCTCTCCAATGTGTATGGTGCCCCTCATATCACAGCTATGAATCTCGGACCTCAGCCACCTCCTCTGTCCCAGGCAATGTGCTAAATTTGAAGGTCATGGTTGTAAATAAATAACCCTGCCACTGACAAGCAAGCCACTCCCCAAGATTAGGCACACATTGAGCAAATAATAGCAAATGAACTAGTTTTAAGATTTCATGACTTACAGGGGTACATGAAAGCACAAAACCAATTAGCCTTCCAGGAGTACACCAGGAACAGGCTATCTCATAAGAAGCAAATCTGAGTTTCTGTTGGAATGATAAATGGGCTTTATCTAAGTGGAGGGGACAGCTAGGCAGGTCCAATAGTTGAGCATTCCACATAGAGAGATGTGTTCAGAGACCTTGGAGAAGAAAAGAGCTAGTCATCTACAGGGGACATAAGGACATCCATTAGGACTCATGTAGGAATCAGCTCATGTGGTGGGTCAGCCTGCCTACCTACAAAGAAAGCTAAAATCTCACAGGCATGAGTGAAAATGAGTATCACAAACTCAGATTTTCAGTGGTTACTCTTCACGTAACTCTGAATGACATTCTGTCCCAACCCCTAGTTCCAATGAAGTGGTCTCAGCTTTGGAGTGGAGGAAAAAAATGAATAAATAAACCTCCCCTGTACTGATCTTTCTTTGTCAAGTGTTTTCAAGACTCAAATGTGTGTGTGCATGAGATAGCACCAGTTAGTGCTGGTTGTCTTGCAACCAAGCAGCTGAACACCCTCAGATATGGGTAGTCAAACACAGCTGAAAGGCCGAGAACAAGTAACACTCAGGCAGACTCCACCACCCAGCAACTTATGCTGGTGGGCCAAAGAAAACTAGCTTGAGATTTCATTCACTGATTATTCTCTCATTCCACTCTGGCCCTCAGACTGGTATGGCAGTGAAACTTCTAGTCTGTGACTGATCAACTGATAACTCACATATGCAGAATAAAATCAATCCACAAAAATCTAAGAGTATTTGACAGCTGCGCATCATGCAGAAATGCTTTCAGTTGCAGGTAACAGAAAACCTCATCAACAATGCCTTAAAGAAATGGAGATTTAATTTCTCCACGTAACAAGAAGATGTGGGAGCAGCAGCTCTGAGTATTGGTTCAGAGGCTCAAAGATTATCAAGGCTACCATTTCTGTCATTTCAATGGTCCATCATGTGGACAATTTAATGGTCATAATAGGGCTGAATGCAACAGATCCTGACATCACAACTGCATTCCAGCTGGAAGAAGGTGTGAAGGGGACAGTTGAGGCTGCGTCTATCCCTTTCATCAGGAAATCAAGTGTATTCCCAAAGGTCTCAGCAGACCACCTTTTAAAGTTCATCAGCCAGAACTATATCACACAGTCACCCATAGCTTCAAGGGAAAGTAGAAAGCATTTATCATGTCCTGACTATAAAACAGAGGTAGGCAAGGAAGAACAGATTTGAAATGTGGGTGAGTTAATCTACCAACAATGCCTTCTACACTGCCAATTTGTATAACTTGAATTAATATTGGTTTGTGAGTTGATAATTCCATTGATGTTTGCTCATCTACAAGGTGTGACAGACAGCAAAATTTTCCAAAAAGTTCTTGAATAAAAGAAACTAAAATTCCGTCTAGTTACCGATCTTTCTTTCTGTAAAACTGGAATAAGTTACAATTGTATGATTTTTGTAACGAAGAAAAAGTAACCAATTTCATGGAGCTCACAGAATCATGGTCAAGCATTGTGATTTTAAAAATCACACCCAGAGAAGGAAATTAGGATTTTTAAGCCTTAAAATGTTTTAAAAAGACAGTACAAAAAGATTGGTTTGTAGGCCTGTCTCAGTCAAAAAAGATGAAATAAGGTAAGTGGTCTCCTATGAGTCTGTCTTTGTTTACTTTGCCATAAAATGATAATCTTTTCTATAAGTCTTAGTTCAGAAATTTTATGATTCTCTGTATTAACCTTCACGTCTTATATACCATGTGAACAGACAATAAATAAATCATCATGTGCTCATTCATTCAGTCTTTAGATTCAAGAGCTAGTCTTTGGGTACCTATTGTGCATTAGGAAATGTTGGCATGACTGAGGAGGCTCTTCTATGAGGACTAATTTAGTGAGGGTCTAAATTTAAGTTTATTTAAAAATTTTTCTAGTGAAAGAAAGGAACTGAATTATGTCCCTCAAGTAGGCAAGTCCAGTTCCTTCGATGGTGGACTATTCTGAGTCATGGGCAGAACAGGCATGATCTAAGGAACTTACAAGCTCCTCCAGCTATAGCACCTTCTCCTCAAGCCTGTCATTTCACTTGATGTTCCTATCACTGAACTGGCTCCTTTGAGAGTTATCTCCAGAAGGTCAAGTTTAAGAGCATAGCTGTGGGAAGGGAGGGAAGCTGGCCCAGCCAGCTACCTTGTTCTGCCCAACAATTACCCACTACTGGAATTAATCTATAATATTAGCTGGGAGGCCAAAAGGGCATCCTATGGAGGTGGTGCTCAGTCCATCATTAACATTAATGATGGACTAGAATAGCTGGGGAAGGTGTGGGATCCAGGCTGGAGCCAAAGAAATCTGTTCCAGTTGAGGGTCCTGAACAACATCCACCCCTCTTGGAGCAAGTAAGGATTTTCAGAAGGAAGGGAAGATCAAAGACCAAAATGTCTAGTTCACAATTCTGCCTGAGACAGCACAGGCCAGGGAGCTACAGGATTTACTAGGATGCTGTGGCCCTAGCTCTTTTCTGAAATCAGTCAGATCTGTGTTGGTATGCCATCATGCCTGGTGGAAGCCCTCTCGGTCCCCACCCCTTCACCTTCATTAACTTCTGTCATCTCAATATAGTCTAGAAGTTTGGCACCAGGTAGAGCCTAATCGCTAGGCCCAGAAACTCATTCTACTCTTCTGGTTATGTGTCCTTAGGCAAACCACTTCATCTCTCTTTGTGTCGCCTCTGAAATATGGGGGCAGTAATTAAAATGGTCAAGCTTAGAGGGTATGTTATGGATTGAATTATGTGCACCCCAACAAAATATGTGTTGAAAACCTAACTCCTGTTTAGAAATAGAGGTGTTACTTTTGTTACGTTAATGAGGTCATAGCAATGTAGGGTGGCTCCTACACTTAATCACTTCTGAGTTATAAAAGAGCAGATTAGACACAAACACGGACACATAAGCACAAATACATACAAAGAGAAGAGGAAGACAGATGCAGCTATAGCCCAGGAACATCAAAGATTGCTGGCAACTACTAGAAGCTGAAATAGACAAGAGTCCCTAGAGCCACACCTGAACATGGACTTCTAGCCTCCAGAGCTGTGAGAAAATAAATTTATGATCATTAAAGTCACATACTTATTGGTATTTCTGTTATAGCAGCACTAGGAGAGTAAGACAGGTATGGTCCTAAAGGCCATGAGAAGCCACTGAAGAACTTTAGAAGCCCAGGAATGGCATGATCATATTTTTATTTCTTCTAATGCACAGGAGGATGGACTAGAAGAGCAAGAGAGAACAAAGGGGACCAGTCAGGACAGAGCTCTGCTCAGTCTAGGGATGACAGAGGCCTAGATGAAGATGATAAAGTTACAAAGGAGCTTTGTAGACTTAAATGTCATTATTGAACCAAGTGCATTTTCTATAAGAGAAAGAAACTGCTTGAACTTTCCCTTCTCCACTGCCAGGAAATAAGGCAACTTGCACAATTCATTCGGGCAGGATAAAAGTAATGAAACTGAGAAGGAAACATGAAGGAAGGGTAATCCCAGTGCCCTGAGGTGCACAATTCATTTTTCTTTTCTCCATCAATCATTGAATGTAGTTGTTTTCATGGTTCCACAATACATAAGTGGACTTGGTGATGGTTACTCCACATGTTTTTAACACTCCCTCTGGAGAGTGAAGGGAAGAACTTCCTACATTCTATTATAAACCCCAGCCTTTTATTACTTCACACCTTATGGGGAGAAGCCCTTAAGGAACCAAACTGTGCTGAATCTTAGAGCTTATCCTTTTATATATGAAGGCAAGACTCAACAGAATTTTAGAAGGTAAAGTTCCATGATGCTAGGATAGCAGATTAAAGGTCTTTGAAAAGACAAAACTTCTAGAGGCAGGATTCACATTGAAACTTAATATAAAATTCAAATAGTTTTAGGCCAATGTGCTTTCTTGCATCGAGGGCTGTGACACTTCCTGGGTAAAGGCCAAGACTTTCAGTAGGTTGGGTTTTCCTCTAGTCTACCTATCCTTCCTACTCTCTACATTCTTCCTGCTTAAAGTAACATTGTTTTACTACTGAGGAAATTGAATTGCTGTTGTTGTTGTTGTTAGGTGCCATTGAGCTGTCTCCGACTCACAGTGACCCTATGCACAGCAGAAAGAAACACTGCCCGGTCCTGTGCCAGCCTCACAATCTTTACTATACCTGAGACCATCACTGCAGCCACTATGTCATTCCATCTTGTTGAGGGCCTTCCCCTTCTTCGTTGACCCTCCACTTTACCAAACATGATATCCTTCTCCAGGGAATGGTTCCTTCTGACAACATGACCACAGTAGATGAGGTGAAATCTGGCCATTCTTGCTTGCAAGGAGAATTCTGGCTGCACTTCTTCTAGGACAGATTTATTAGTCCTTTCAGCAGTTCATGGTACTCTTAGCATTTTCCAACACCACGACTCAAAAGCATCAACTCCTCTTCAGTCTTCCTTATTCATTGTCCAGCTCTCACATGAATATGAGGCGATTGAAAAAATCATGGCTTGGGCTGGGCACACCTTACTCTTCAAGGACACATCTTTGCTCTTCAGTAATTGAAAGAACGTCTTTTGCAGCAGATTTGCCCAATGTAATACGTTGTCTGATGTCTTGACTGCTGCTTCCACTGGTGCTGATTGTAGAACCAAGTAATATGAAGTCTCACAACTTCAATCTTTTCTCCATCCATTGTGAAGCTGTTTATCGGACCAGTTGTGAGGATTTTTGTTTTATTTATATTGAACTATAATCCATACTGCTGACTGTAATCTTTAATTTTCATCAGTAAGTGATTCAAGTCATCCTCACCATCAGCAAGCAAAGTTGTGTTGTCAGTGTATCTCAGGTTGTTAATGAGTCTTCCTCCAATCCCGATGCCACATTCTTCTTCAAAATGGAATAGCCTATCGTTTTTGAGTTAATGAGTTAGTGTAAAATACTAAGAAGAATAATATACTACCTTTATGTTATACTTACCAAGCTTACAAACATGATATTCTCATTCACTCTTATTAAACTGGTTGGACACAAGAAGCTTAATAAATTACCTAGTGTAAATGTACACCTCACTGCATTTATTTGTTGTTGGTTTTTACATTTTTACATTTTTCACATCTGACTCAACAGCACATAACAACAACAGAAAATTACATAGAAACCTACCAGAAAACTCTCACTGAAATTGCCTTTTTAATTTTTTTTTAAAATTTAAAAGGAAATTCTCCTTAAGAATATTTCCATCCCCTCTCCCTTCTCTCTCTCTCCTTTTCCTTCCTTTCCCTTCCAGTCCCTTTCCCTCTCTCCACTTCTCTCTCTCTCTCTCTCTCTCTCTCTCTCTAAATTACCTGGGCAATGGTTCTATCAGGACACCAGGACCTAATAAGGAGAAGACGTCTGAAACAATCAAGAGATTTATCATAGGCATTTGGAAGAGGCTCCTCTTCAGGGTTTTCCTTATCAAACCAAGTTTTCCACATTTTCTCATTTCTTGAAATCTGAAAATACCAGTGGAAAAGAAATACGTCACACCACAAAAACATCCTAAAATAATATTCACAGATATTTTTCATTAAATATTCCAACAATTCTAGAAATATGTGAATTTTATCCCTTGTCTATTCTTTCTTATTTTTATGTCCTAGTGTTGAACAGTTGGATAGTTTAACATTATATCATTTTCTCCAGACAGTCCATATTAACACCAGCCTATAGGTACCTTTCCAAATAGCAAGAATCCTTGATTATTAATTTATTCTATTTTTTTTTGGTAAGAAATTTATGAGGAATAAAGAAATCAGTGGAAACTCTTTTCATAATTTGAAGGAAGTCTGATTTGTTCCATGCAATTCTCTCAGAATGAGGGACCAAGTCTCATCCACCTGTTTTTCCTCATTTCCCAATTCCACTTCTGGCAGAAACAGAGATACTTCATACATGTGAATTACTGGAGATAAGTTTTTGGGTTAATATTCTATTAATCTAGCATAATGTGAAATATACCACATAATAGCATCACCAAATGAATGATCAGACACCTGCTACCATTAGCCAATGGTAGCACTGGAAAAAGACACACCTATTATCCTCTGGAGCTTTGACAAAGAGAGATAAACATTATTACATGGAAAAGCATCTAAAAATCACTGGCAAACAAATAAGGCTGATAAATAAATGAAATCTTATTTTATGGTATATTCCCTACAATTAAGATTCCAACACTATTGCTTAAGATTTTATCAAAGAAAAAAACATCCTAAAAAACCATCCTAGGAGGTATCAGAGTTCTGGTACTGTAGTCCTAAGGCACTTGACTGCTAACCAGAAGGCTGGTGGCTCAAACCCACTAGCCACTCCTCGGAAGGAAGGTTGGTCAATCTATTTCCATAGTGATACTACCTCGGAAACCCAAGGAGGGGTTGTCATGAGTCAAGTCTGACTCAATGGCACATAACAACAACAACAGGAAATAGCAAGTAAAAAAGAAAATACTAATAGTTTCTTTCAATCATGAAAGACTATATAATGTGGAGGGATTCCAGGAATGAGATATAATCTCCAGAAGACAGTGACATCAATCACAGATATATGTTCCCTGAGAAGAACAAAGGAGCTCTGTGGGTGTAGTGGATAAGACATCTGGCTGCAAACCAGAGGGTGACTGGTTCAAACCCACCAGCTGCTTCGTGGAAGGAAGATGGGCTGGTCTACTTCTGTAAAGATTTATAGCCTCAGAAACTCAATGAGGGTCACTATGAGTTGGAATCAACTCATTGGTAGTAAGTTTGGTTTTTTTGGGGGGGTTTGGGAAAAACAAGACCAGCCTCAACCAGAAAAAGGTCATCTCAAGGAAGAGCAAGTGAGATAGCATTAATATTCACAAAACAAAGTATTTGAGCAAAAAGAATGGTTTGTTCCCCAATTACATGGCAGTAATAGCAAACATTATCACTAATTGTACTTATTAACCAAGACACAAAAATATAGTGGAATTAAAGCATCTGGTCAAGTTAAGTTGAAAGACTCAAGAACTAACCTTAGAACATTACCTGGTCAAAAAAGCACATTCAATTTGTGGCTGAATAAAACCACTTTGCTATCAATCTGACTTCTCTCTAGTTTGGTTCCCCAATATCAAGAACCTGACTCTTGGCTTGTCCCAGTTCATTTCTTTATCCCAGCTTCCATGATACCAGCACATACACACAGTCAATCAGGAACTGGCTTATTATGGAAGGAGAAAAACTTCTAAAGATAACAGTCCAAGCATTTGCATTAGATTCATAATCAGATGCCCAACTAAGGCAGTCAAATGGAGGAACAAAAGAAGGAGGTAGAGAGGAACAAGAGGCAAGAATGGAAGTGCAGTGGTTGTTTCATCTTTAAAAAGAAGGCATAGCATCTTAAATGCATCTAACTATTTAATCTAAAAGGCCCAGGAACGGGGACAGAGGAGCAATCAGCTGCAGGGATCCAAGTGAGGAGAAGGAACCCAGGCATGCCCAAAGCAGCAG